AGATGAAGATGAAGATGAAGATGAAGATGAAGATGAAGATGAAGATATTATATAGATGTTCTGAACCAAATAAAAGTTTTAGGAGTATGATCATAGTTTGATAAAAAGAAAATTTTCCCGGCGTAGTAATGATCAAACCTAGAGGATTAGGGTACTTTCCTAATTTCTCATTTGCGGAGGACATCAGATTTCCTCCTCAGACTTCTTCCTCTTGACTTTAGCTGGAATCGGACCTGCGTCATCGACGTGCAAATCAGCAATATTAACCGCTAAGCTATGCACACCCCTAAACCCTTGAACTTGAGCGTTCAATTCAAAGGGTTTGACAGAAAACAAGGTATATAATAGCATTGCTTACGCAGAAAATAAAGATGGCTCTTTCCGCGGACCACCGAACCTCTCTTCGCTGATTTGACAGCATCCAGTTACACGTTAAAGTCATATAAATATTTTGCGCACCAGGGATGGGTAATTAAATTTTGAAATCGTAACTATTTATTTGCAGAAAAAATTTACCTTGAAAATTATTTACGTGTTTTATGTGCATACATTTTTGATAGTAGGTGGAGGGCCTCCCCCTGTAATATGATATATACTTTTGAACACACATCCAGCTAAATTCACCATTAAGTATGGCCTGGGAGTAATCTCTCCGAGCGGTTCAAATCAAACCATATTTATGCACCTTCAAAAATGAGGTAGGCCAATGGACAAGTTACCTACACTAGAAATATTGTTGAAATGTCTATGAAAATAAGAATGAATTTCCTGATAAGTTTTATGGCTAGGGCAAAAATTAAAAATTCTGAAAGGAAGGTACAATTGCACCTACTTTTCCAACACTGTTTTGCACCATTTGTTTGCTTCTATTTCTATGCTGAGTTGAATTGTGCGTAGAAAAAAATTAAATTCATTAATTTATGTACATTAGGATGCTTCACCCTCCATAGAAAAGTCGCTACTGTGTTTTTATAAATGTTCTAAAACTTACTTTATTCGAAGACTTCCGCAAAAATATTTAGGAATAAAATAAAGAATTACGTGAGCTGGAATATTTTATTTTTATAGAGAAAAGTTTGAGCTCACGTAAATCTTAATTTTTTCCGAAATATTTTGACAAAAGTCTTAAAATATAATAAATTTTATAATTCCGGCGAAAAAATGCATCTTTTTTTGTTTAGGCACCCTAATGTACCAGAATTAGTTTTACGTATCAAAAACAGGACAAACCGTAAAATAAAGGACAAAATATAGTCCAAAAAAAAACAAGCTAGAAATTTTAAAAATCTAAAGGACGTTACTTTAAAATAGGACTATCATTTAAAATAAAGTAAAAAAAATATATATGTAAAACTTGTAAATATATACTAACACCAAAACCAAAAATACTACGCCCACTGTGCAATGCATAATTTACGCTTTGAAAGCATTTCTTACTCAGCCGAAAGTACAATTTATTTTGCCATTTTTCACTAAACCCCGTTTTTTTCTCTCCTTCTCTTTCCTCATCTAACTTCACTTTTTATTTAACGCGCGCATATTTAGGTGGCGGCAAGAAACGCATCAAGAGCTCAGAACTCTATCATCAGTCGAAAGCGTCCGAAGGTGGCGAAAGCGAGGAAACAGAAAATCCCGGCAAACGAAAAGGTGAGCAGATTAAGATTATTTACTTGCCCGTACTTGCCGTACTTTACCAACTATTTGCAAACACTACATACATACATAACTATTAGTAGTACTCTTTGTTAGCAGTTTTTTTTTTGGTTTGTATTTCTTATATATTTTCATGCCAATGGGATTAGTTACTCCACAAATGATCGGCCACTTGAGGTTGAGCAACTAAAGGAAACGACATATTTACTTACTTACTTACTTACTTACTTACTTACTTAAGCAAACACCTTTCAGCTCAATATTGCAAACAAAATCAGTTATTTTCGCAAACCTAAGCACCAAAAAACGGACCATTTATATAGACTCACCCTCAACAGTTGAGTTTTGCTTAACAACAAAAAATACTTCAATTTGCGCCACAGACAAAAAACAAAACGACAGCAAATAAAGCTCGGCAACTTGCTGGCGTATTGCCGTTGTGCTGCTACTTAGCCCAAAGTTCATAATTGTATATCAATAAGAAGTACATTTTTTGCCTCTTTAAACACCGTTCTTCCACCTACTTGCATTTAGGCCTACTACGTCTACCTTTTATGGCAATTTAACGATTTGCAAATAATACTCTTTGGCATTTTTTTTTTGTTTGAGTATGCAGACTAAATTTTTGGTCATTTTGGGAATTATTGGTTATTTAATTTTGTGGGGTAAAATTAAGGTGCATTTTCAAAAGCAAATAAAAGAAATTTAGCCACATAAACTTTTGTGGTTTTATTTGTTTGCGAAAAATCGATAATTGTGGAATTGCCAAACCTTTAATAATTTAGAACAGGCATACGTGACTCCAGCAAGAGTTAATTTTGTGGCTCTTCCGACTTGCATTTTATTAAACTAAAATTGAATTCGCTATAAAATAAATTCTTGGATAAAGCAGATGGCAACCTCGACTAAAATATTTTCGATAAAAGCTTTATTTTACTTCCCTCGTTTAACACCGGTATTGTTATTTTTCATTTAACCCCTCTCTTAATTGAACTGGAACTTTTAATCTATGTATGAATTTCTGAATAGGTGGCAGCCTCTTCAATAATATTAAAAAAAAATAAACATATACATAACACACAATTAACACAGTTGTATATTAAAAGGTTGGAATGAACTTCTTAATTACATTGAATTTAACATTTCAAACAGGTGGCAACGTTTGTCAAAAATATTTTGAAATTTAATCCTAAACCTCTCTCCTTTGACACGCATATTAAAATAATTTATTTAGTTTGTTAATTAAATTTATTCTGAATTTCTAAACAGGTGGCAACCTTTTTCTAAAACTAACAAAGAAACTAAGCATTTACATACGCTTTTCGTTTGAAATGTATGTATATAACATGTTTCAATTAACTTACTAGTTAAATTGGTTTTAACTTATTGGCAACCCTCATCAAAAATATTTTATAATTAAATTAAATTAATTGTTAAACCTCCTTATTTGACAGCCATAATAAAATGTTTCATCTAACCTGTTATTAAATCTAATGTTGAATCTAAACAGGTGGCAACCCTCATCAAACATTACAAAAAAGGAACAAAGCATTCTTAAACTCTTTTCCATTGACACGCACATACATGTGAATGTATATGAAGAGGTTTCAATAAACTTATTTATTATTAAATCGATTTTAACTTTTAAATACTGCTTTCAACCTCTGCCGTTTGACATCCAAATTAAAATATTTCATTAAACTTGTTTAAAAAATTTACTTTAAATTTCTAAACAAGCGGCAACCGTCATCAAAATATTTTCAAAACAGAGCAATATAAAACACTGGCAACCCGCTTTAAAAATATTTTCGAAATAAAGCTTTTCTAAACCTCTTTCATTTAACAATCGCATAGAGCTTTTCGAGTTCATTCCCGTTTACAGTAATTATTAAAATATTTCGTTTAGTTTTTGGTTAATTAATATGAATTTCTAAACAGGTGGCAGCGCACTTTAAAAACATTTTCGAAATAAAGCTTTTTTAAAACTCTTTTGCTTGACACTTATTACCCTTTTGCTTGATACTTATTTTATTAAACTTTTTAATTTATGTAGTTGATTTTAACTTTTTGACTTTCTTCAAATTATATCCAGTAAATCATTTTTGAACCATCTCATGTTTTATATCCACGTTGTTGTAATATTTTATCTATCTTGTTAATGCGATGATTTTATTTTTGAAAAATATAAAGATATCTTACATCTTCATAAAGGTGCAAAATTTTATTCAAATACGTCAAGTCGTTTTAGCGTAACAAACATACCTACACAAATACAGAATCTCACATTTTTAATATTTATTACTGGGATTTTTCACAAAATAACTAGTGAAATCATATAAACATAAGAAAGTTCCATACATAACCGCCTTTTTTCACTCCATCTTTTCTCACTATCTTCCTCTCCCCCTAGATATGATACTCGGCAATGAATTGGAGGATGGTTACTACGATTCTGCAGCTGCTGCAATACATTGTCAACAAAATAAATTGACACAGACAACAGTGACGCTGCTGTTCACAATATTGTTACTGTTTAGAAAAGTCGAGTTGCTGATAGACGTCTGACAGTTGCTGGCTGCTGAGCGGTTGATGCACTGATGACATTGTGGTTGCGGTGTACGAGTAGCTGTTAAGACTAACAGGATATACGGTTAGCTGGTATGAAGTGTATATGGATTTGTAGAAGTATGTAAAGTTAGTTGTATATGTGCGTGAATTTTTCTTGTTAAGTCATATAGTGCATGTTGAAGTAAATTGTGACGTACATACATACTTGAGTACTCATTAAGCAAATATATTCGTAAAACATGAATGCAACAAGGGAAATTTAATGAATTAAAAACGAAAAATAACATATATTAAAACAGAAAATCAGCTAAATCAAAGTTATAAAACATATTATAAACCAATTAGATAAATTATAATTTTTGGTGAACATAAAATGTATATGAGTAAGTAGGTTAAGGATAATACGGCAATATAGCTATACATATAATATAATATATAAAACAGTAAAATGCATGCTCTTCCTCTGGAAATTTGACAGTTTTCACAAACTCGTCCGCAACATTAGTAAGGGCAATCTCGGGCTAGTGCGAAACAAAAATTATTTTCGCAAAGTATTTAGCTCTCAACAGACCGAGAGCCAACAAAAAGCTTCTAATGGGCACTTTCGGGCTGCCTTGGGCAAAAAACAGACCTAATAATTCAAATTTCGCTAAACTATGTATGTGCCAAATGTAGTAAAACTGTGTTTGTACTTTTTCTCTTTGACGTCAGGATTTTTTTAAGCAGACTTTGAAATTTCAAAATTATGTTAACTCAAAAACTCGTTTAAAAAATTTAGTGCAATGTAAAAAAAATGGAAAAAAAATTCTATAGAATTGGAAGAGATCAACCTTTTTGGGGGCCCAAAGACGAATAAATAATAATAATAGATTGGCGCTTACACATATGTTAGTGTTTGGCCAAGCTTCTCCTCCTTGAAATTTTTCTCAATTTTATGCTTGAAAAAATATACGTTTAGAGCTTGTACTAACACAACGAGACTCTAGAATTCCATCCTCTGACTTTATTAGTTTCGGATAAAAAAAATTAATTGAAAGATATTTTCAATTGCTTTTTCCTTTTATTTGATGCTGATATTGTTCATCAAACTTTTTTAAATAATATTTTTAAGGAATCATTTCAGAAGGAAATACCAAGAAAGTGCAGTCTTACTATATTTGACCCATAGTTTTGACTGCTTGCGATTTAAAGCTTGTCCGATTATTCTTTGGAGGCACTGTGTGTATTTTATAAATGTATATTTATTTGATTTGTAGTTCTGTATAATATACAACTATTTTTTGTAGCCTCTTTTTGAAGTGCGTTTACGATATTAATCCTGATACAAGAAAGAAGGTAGTTCCATTGAATGATCGACATTCGTTGTTATTGTTAACCATTTGACGTTTAATAAAATTATGACATTTCATCAGATTCATGCTACCCGATCACTAGAAGTGATATTTTTTTTTAAAGCAAAAGATTTCATCAGTCCACTCAAAGATGCGGATTATGATGTACCTGAAAATTAATACATAATTTCCAAAATGGGGTTAATGAAACTAGGTTTTAGAACGCATGAAGAAAGTGGGCGGTCTGCACAAGCCAAGCTCAAATTTTTTGCATACATACATTAAATTCAAAATTTGTGGAAGTTAGTGCTGATACGCTAACCACTAAGAATTTTTCTTTTGAAAAATTTGATAAGAAATTGAAAAGTAAATTTGGGCCAAAATATTTTAAAAAGGTTTTATTTGAAAAGGAGATTCTTTTGAATTAGATTTTTAAATCGCAAGATTCCATTCAAAATAAGAAAATATAAAAATATCAACCAAAAAAACTTATGTGCGCTCGTGATTTTTATAATAATCTTAATAGTTTCGTGCGAAACACGTAAGTAAAAAAAAAAACACCAAGCACTGATAATTGTTTTTGATTTGAAATTTATTTAAATTGGTATAAATATGGGAAAGAAAATACTGCGATTTATTGTTTTAATATTATCAAAGTGGCAAGGCCATTAAGAATACTCACATTTTATAAAACTTCAAAAAAATAAAAATTTGTATCCGTCAAAAGTTGCTTATTGAAACTACTTTCTTCTTTTTAACATGATATCGAGCCTTAAGCGCCAAAATAACGTAAGCGACATTTTTTTCAAAATTTTGTTTTTGATGCAGAAATGCATCTAGATGCTCTAGGAATATTTCTGCATCAGAAAGAAAATTTTGAAAAAACTGTCGCTTACGTTATTTTGGCGGTTAGGGCTCGATATTAATATTTAAAATGAGTTTAGTTGTCAAGAACTGGAGTAGGATCTCAATTCATTTATAATTTTATTGAACGATGTTTTTGATAATGTTTGTACTAGACATGTATGTATATACTTACTTACATACATATAATAAGGCATGTACATATATATCTACTCATAGCTGTTAAGTATAAAAAGTAAGATATACAAAAGCCAGGTAAAAGCTAAAATTTTAAAATAAATGAAGCAATGAAAAGCGCTGCTTGTATGATATGAAAGACTGTATGCACATAATTCGTAGAAATGCAATGCAAGTATTTAGCAGATAAGTGAAGGATTAGAATATATAATAAATATATGCACATTAGAGTGATCCAAAACCCCCCAAAATAGTGCAATGGGTGACTCATAAAAATTGCTAGTATTAAAAAATATTTTAAATAAATAATTGGAAATTATTATTTGAAGTCTGCTGAAGAGAAAAAGTTTTGCGATCGAAAAATATTGATTTTCAAGAATTCTGTAAAAAATTTTGTAGAAATATAAAAAGCATGTAAAACTTTCAACGATTTGCGCAACCTCTAAAAAACAGGGGTATATTGTTTTCAGTGTACAAAAATCCTAGTGGGTGGTAGCATTCAAATTCCGACTTTACTTTTTTTTTTGTACCACCCTAATACATAAATTAGAATTGCTATAAATATATCAGATATGTATATGTACATATTCGCATTAGAATTAAGTGTATGATAAAAGACATAAAAAAATTGAAAAATATAATAAAGTAAAAATATTCAGTTTAGTGTTTGAATTAAGCCTAAGACATACATACATACATACATACATACTTTACATGACCGCTGTTGTTTTGTTTTTGGAAAACCATATAAAAAATATATGAACATATATGTATAGATTAGTTGTTACAAAATTAAAATTAAACAAATAAACATACATATCATGCAAAGCGATTCAAGTTAGAACTGTTAAAAACAAAATTCAAAATTTGTATATACCTATAAATATAAATATAAATATGTATAATATATCAGCATACATACATACATAGATGCATACATAGATGCATGCTATAATCAAATTCCAAAGTAGCACGATCGTAAACACGATAGGCGGACCTCTGTACTCTGTTTATGAGAAAAATATATAATAATGCTAAAAAATCGTAAAAGTATATACAGACTAACATATGTATATACATATGTGTATGTGTTTGCTTCGTGGCTTCAACATGAAATTGCTCTACCCCATTTGACCCGCCTACAAATCGCTGCGAAGTTAATACTCATAACATAAGTATGACATTGTTATGTAAAATGATGCTAAAATATATGTACAAGTTATATATGTATATGAGTTGATGAACTGAAAGCGTTGAAATGTATTTGCATATACATAAAAAAATATATATTAGAAAAACATATTAGACTAGCATCATGTAAGCAAAATTCAAATCATACTAAGCCACATAAAGAGCTGCATTTTGAATTTAATGCAGATATATAAATATATGTATTATACACGTAGCCCAAAGGCATATAATGTGTACTGGTTTATAAGTCATGTTTAACTAAAATTGATTTGTATGAATGCTCCAAATTAAATAAAGAAAAATTATTTAACGCTAAATAGTATGAAAAGAAATGATGAATTGGAGTTTTATTTTAAACGAGCAAAGTACCGAATATCCTTTGGGGTACAAGGCAATTTTGACTAAGATAGTTGCAAATTTTTTGTGTATGTGCAATTGAGAAACGGTCGTAAGTGCCGAGTGTGCAAATCTTCGAAATCGGGCAACAACCACGCCCACCTGCCATATAACCGTAATTTACAGAAACTCGAAAATTGCGACAAATCTTTAACTACTGAAGCTAATTCACTTAAAATCGATGATTGCAATAACCACTTTTAAAAAAATTCGTTGCGCGGTGCCCACTTATGATCACAAATGTGTATCTCGGTAACCGATTTATCAATTTCTACCAAACTCGGTGCACTTAAAATAACCTTGGTACGGAAACGGAACTTGTTGAAAATTATTCAAATCGTACTAAAATTACACCCGCTTCCCGCATAACGGTAATTTTTTAGAAATACGAAAACTCCGATTTACAATAACTGAGGACGCTAATTTACTCCAAGTTAATAGTTACAACAATCTCCTAACAATAAATAACTGCTACAGACTTTTAGAAATTTGGCGTAGCACCGCCCACTTTATAACTACTAAGGTGTACCTGCTGGTGCTACCGACGTACTGACTCCATGCATATATTTGCTTTTTCTTTATTGGCGCTGTAACCGCCTAAGCGATTTTGGCCAGGTCCAATATATCACGCCAGTCGTTTCTCTGGGGCAGTGCCTTATATTTTTTTAGCTCTTTCGATGCGAAAAGTAGAAAAATCTCGGTTTCAGTTGGACTATACCTTAAAGATGACGGTTTTCTCATTGGCCCACTGCACGAAGCTTAGAGTAGAGTAATGTCTTTTAAGAACTTAAAAATTATCCTGGGTTATCAGGTGTCTAGCAATACAAGAATAATTATTTTCTTTCATGAAGTTCTTTAAATAAATTTTGAGCTAAGTACTCACCCGTATAATAAATAAATAAATTGTTAGTTTGATTTCCTATAAAATTTACCTTTAGGTTTATACATTTTAAGAATACATCGAAAATTTGTTTTGTAGAATCAATGTCAAATATGTATTTGCAGAAACGATTAACCGGTTTTCTGAGCAACCGAGACGTCTGCTTTTTAAATAATTTTTGTAAAACAAATCTTCAAGTACATATCGTCCTCCGCATGCCAGAAACATGAATGTGTAAAGATGCAAATTTTGTGATTTTTTTATGTGTAAGATTTGGCGTATTGTGAATACCTGATCTATAGTGGATTTGCCAGGTTTAAAGCCACGCTGATAAAGTCCAATCAGTTCGGTGACGGTGGGCTTCAGTCTTTCACACAATACGCTCGATAAGACCTTATAACATATGCTTAGAAGGCTTATTCCGCAGTAGTTGGCGCGAATGGCGGGATCGTCTTTGTTGTGGATTGGGCAGAGCACACCTAAATTCCAATCATGGGGCATGCGTTCATCTGACCATATTCTGCATCAGAGCTTATGCATGCAGCTTATCAACTCCTCGCCGCCGTACTTGAATAGCTCGGCTGGCAGGCCGTTAGCTCCAGCCGCTTTGCTATTTTTCAGCCTCGTAATCGCTATTTGCACCCAGTGTTGCCGCGCCCGAAAAATAAAGTTTAACAAAATCTTTCAAAAAGTTTAACAAAACCGTTTAAAATTAAGCAACTTATTTAACGGATCTTAATAAAACGAAAAATGCCTGGAGTTACTGTTTGTTTCTCCCTGAGCTTGGTTATTTGGTTATAGAAATAAAAAGTAAGCAAGTCAGTAATTCAAGGCTCTCTAAGGCTAAGCTTTGTCGTCAAATATAAGGATTTTATAGTCTAAGGGCCAATTTCAAATGAATATTTAAAAATGCCATTTAGCTTTCGTTGGGTTTCAGATCCACTTTGTTTACATATGCCAAACAATTGGCAGCACTGCTGCTTGTGCCTTGAAATTGTTGTTGCATTTGCTTGTTTGTTTACATTTCTGCTGAACAGCTGATTGTTTTTGGAGGGATTTGGTGGGATTGATTAAACAACCTACCAATCAATCTTGGTTGTTTAATATAAACACAGGGTTGCATATCACATATTTATATAGACAATATTGGTCATTTAAGTGCAGATTAAATGTATGATCTGAAAATTAATAGTGGAAGTTAATCAACAATCTCTACTTACATAAGTAGGCCATCTAAAATCTGGTTTCAGGCTTTCAACACATACTCCTATAATAGCTATCTGCCCTTTCGCTGGTTTTTTGAATGCATGCAAAAAAACGAGTTTGGTATCGTGTTATCTAAAATAGAGGTCTTCATCGAAAGTGATAAAGGGATAAATTGCTTAAATTTATTAGTTTATTGCACTGTGGTACATAATTGCACACAATTTTTTAATATTTAACTTATCTGGCTAGTTAAGTTTCATTCTTACCTCGTCCATTGTGCTAATTTGGTTTTTATGTTTTCGTAACAAAATCGACTACCTGGCAGTCTGTCAGGCTTGAATTTTGCTGAAATTTATTCGTTTATCCACCAAAATCGTCGGTGTTAAACTTTGGTTAAATAGATTTCCATACAAAGTTTGACAGTTCATTTATGAAAATGATAAATTTATCATTTTATCAAGTTTATCAACAGTTTTTCACTTTTGATGAAGACCCCTAATGTGCGTGTTGATCTTGTCAAACAAACGAAGGGACCTAAAGTTCTAGGTCGCCTCCGATTGGCAAATGGTTTTTATGAGAAGCGATTTCATGGCAGAAGTAAACTCGGAGAAAATGCTACGACCGCAGATCGGGAATTGCGTAGAGCAACATTTACTGAAACTTTATATGGGATCT